CTGGAAGCCAAGTTGGCTGACCTCGGGATTGACTCAGAGACTTCTGATGGTACTTCACCGGCTGTGGAGCTATCCGTAGAGGAGGAGAATGAGCTATTTCTGCAGGTAAAACATTGTTTTTTGTTTGTGTTTTGTTTTACAATGTTTTATGATTCTTTGGATTTCAAGAAGTTGACATCTTCATTTCGTTTTTGCAGTCTACTTTCACAAATGAAAGAGGAATCCCTTATGGGATTGGAAGCCTCTCACAGTCAATCAATGGAAAGAGGAAATACCCAGTAATCTGTTCAACATACAGGGGTCTAGAAGAACAGCTTCAAGAAGCTCAGCGCCTAATAGAAGAACAAGCTGCAGAGAACTTAAGGCGTGAAGCAGAGCTTGCCAAAGTTTCTGCTGAGCAGCAAGCCAAGCTCGACAAACTATCTCTTGTGGAAAGGTATTTAACTGAAACTGATCCTAGGTTCTTGGATTTCTTGTCTGCAAATCAAACCCCTCCAATTGATGGGATGCCTTCAGCTCAACAAACTGCAGCTCCAACCTCTAATCCAAACACTTCTTCGTCGCCAGCCACATAGGTTCTTCTAAGTCTCTGTTTGTTGTTCTATGTATCTCATCACTTTTATTATCTTTTGGAACTTATGTCAATGGTTGAATATGTAACCATTTTTATTTTGCACCTAGTTGAACAATGTATGTTTGTTTTATGTAATATATTTCTTCTTATGCTATTATCTTTGTTGTATATGATGTTTAGATGAAAATGTAAAAACTGAATCAAATGAAAATAGGTGGATCAAATCGCATAACCAAACAAGAAATCAACTACCAAAAAGAGTAGCAAGACAGTCGTTATTTAGTCACAACTACGTCGCTAATCAGTCGCTAAATCATCACGAATAAACATGTACAAATCACTGGAGTCGTGATTTAGTCGCTACGATAGTTACAAAACAGTCGTTATTCTATCGCTAATTCCAGCTACGGATTCGCGACTAATAATTGGCGACTTCTTCTCTACTACGTATTAGTAGTACAACGGTCGCCAAATGTAGCAACTAATTAGCGACTAAGACATGGCGACCTTTTTACGATGACCTTACAGTCGGTAATTGGTCGTTAAATTAGTCGTTATTCAGTCGCTACTGTAGCGTCTAATTAGCGACTGCATAACGACTGCTCTTCGTCACGACACATCCGTCACCAGTCAGTCGCGAATGGCCGACTATTTGGCGACTGATTAAATTAGCGACGACAAATTAGCGACTACTCTGTTCAGTGAGAAATCAGTTATATTTAGCGACTGTTTAGCGATTGATTTTGGTGTCGCTACACCTCTGTTTTCTTGTAGTGGGATCAGCGAACAAGGTTTTGGTAGGCTGAGGAAACTTGCGTTTTACATCGACGGATTAGATGAGTTGCATATCGAAGAAGATGCCATGCCTAGTTTAATGGAGCTGAAACTGAGAACCAGAGGACGAAACATGAAGCTGATGATCCCTGATCGATTGCGGGCGTTTCTTGATCCTCTACACACCAGAAGTTAACTTGTTCAAGAAGGTAATATACTAATATCAAAACCAGAAGTTATGGTGGATTTATCTTGTGAATTTTATTTGTGTGTGGTCTTTATTTTTCACAACCTATAACCATGATGGGTCAACTGATTAAGAAAAAGACTGTTCTCTTCAATCAAATAAACTGCGCCATGATATGAGAATCATTCATTTTGGATGTGTTGAGATCTTCTCTGCCAAGGAAGTGCTTGTTGATATTTTTGAGGATATATCCAAAAGGGCCATTACCATCACAACAATGAAATTTAAGGGTGGTCTGTAATGTCACATGTGCATAGATAAACATACACAAAAAACCATTGACCTTTTGTGTGACGTCAGTAGTGAGCGCATGAATCTCCAACACACTGCAATGTTAATGCTTTTTAAAAGAAACCATTAGTTGGCTTTTGAGGAAAATTAAATTTTATGGCATAGTCTTATCAGGAAGATTGTAGAATCCATTGCTAATGGAATTTTAATAATAATACGGATCAATTATTTAGAGATATTTTTCATTGAGAATGAGAGAGAGAAGGGTTAAGTGATGGAGAAAAGGGCAGAGATGAGAAAGATATTGTTACTTCCATTTCTAGCACTGGGACATGTAACTCCCTTTATGAAATTTGGGAAAGCCCTCAGTTTGAGAGGCTTCTTAGTTACAGTTGTTTAGAGAGAATTCAATCGACTAAACCACTTCCCTGGCTATGAATTTGTCACCATACAAGAAATCTTACGAGTGTCTCAACTCAAGACATTTGGACCAGTCGAGTTTCTGATGAACCTCAACAAAACCAACAAGGCAATGACATCGCATGTATCATCTATGACAAGCTCATGTATTTCTTTAGAGCTGCAGCTAAGAAGTTCAAGCTCCCCAGTGTCATATTCATCACTGTTAGTGTTTGTGGCTGTGTTTTAAGCAGACTCAATGCCAAGAAGTTCTTGATCGACATTAAAGGTTCCTAAGACCAGATTTTTACCCATTCTGAACCATGTTCTGTTATTCAACAGAGGTTTTTTTGTCTTTTTTTTTTTTTTTAAAAAAATACTTTTTAGATCCTGAAGTGCAAGACAATGTTGGTGGAACATTTATATCATTGAGATACAGAGACCTACCAACGATCAGGAATGGGGCCACTGGAGCGATTTTAGGAGATTTTTGGGGATTGTGTGATAGCAACCAACCTTTCCTGTGGGTCATCTCCGAGATATTGCCAGAGGAAGTCAGTAAAATGGTCCCAGAAAAGGGATACATTGTTAAATGGGGATCCAAAGTGAAGTACTTGCACATCTTGCAGTGGGAGGCTTCTGGAGCCATTGTGGATGGAACTCAACGCTTGAGAGCATTGTGGAAGGAGTTCCAATGATTTTCTGGCCTTTTACTGGCGAATAGAAGTTAAACGCAAAGTATATAGAGACTGTTTAAAGTTTAGGGATTCATATTCAAGGTAAACTGGAAAGAAGAGGGGGTTGAGAGGGCTGTGAAGAGGTTGATTATGGATGATGGAAATGCAGCCCTTGTTTTAAAAGCGAAGCCCAAAGCCTCTATAAGAAGTGGAGGGTTCCTCAAACAACGCATTGAGAAAGCTCGTCAACTACTTAGAGACAGGGTGAAAATATGCTTGAATTCAAAGTATTGATCCTAAATATAGAGTTCTTCATGTTTAGAATCTTTATCATGCAACATAAAAGATCAAGCTTGAGCTTGATTCTACTGGTCAAGTTTGGTCTTGCAAAATTTACAAAAGTACAGTACATGGTTTGTTATGAAACAATTCAAATCAAATTCAATTATCACTGTACGCAGTTCTCTCAAAATAAAATGATCTCCTTTGGCCGTTTTGTGGTAAAACATTCCGTCGCCTAGACAAAGAAGGCCTCCTACAGACATGACCAAAACGAAATGCAAGAAACCGATTTTTTAAAAATTTGTATTGTCTTCTGGTGAAGGAACGTAAGTTCCTTACATGACCATGAACACAATTAGAGTTATGAAAGACCATGTTACAAGAGGAAACAGACCTTATATATATAAAGGACCATTCGTGGGATAACTCATAAATCTATTGGAAACAGAGGAAAGATCCATGTTGTGAAGCTTCATGTGTTTTTTTCTTTTTTTTTTTTTTTTTTTGGAGCTGTAGTTATACCATATACATACATTGCGTTATATATAATGCTAGCAATAATGTACAGATTTATGAGTGGATGGAGAGAAAAAATGGCTTTTTTCTGTATTCCACAACGGAGCTCGCTTGAATCTTCTTGCCAAGACTAAAGGCTTAGCAGCCGCTGAAAACTACTTCAATAACTAAAACGACGACCCTTGTGCTAAGATTCAGTTCACTTACCGAAAGCTCCTGAAATAGTACTGTCAGGGAATTTAGGAAGATAGAGGGCAAGTTAGGGTATTTTACATATTGAAAGAAAAGCAATTCAAATCAGGATACAGGGTTCCTTTTATGCAGTTTTCTCAAAATAGAATGATTTCTTTTGGCAGTTTTGTGGTGAGAAAATCCATCTCCTAGCCAAAGAAGACCCAAACGAAATGCAAGAAACTGATTTATCTGAATTATCTACTGTCTTCTGGTGAAGGAATGTAAGTTTCTTATATGACCATGAACTGATGTATACCTAATTTGCAAGATCATTCATGGGGGCAGTCATAAACTTACTAGAAACAGAGGAAATATCCAAACTTTTATCAAGTCATGGAAGAACGAAACAAATATATATTGCATGATCAGCAAATGATAATTGAAGGAGCCTAATCTTAAATTGTATACCAACCAAAAATAATTATTGGTATACAAAGGATGTTCCTTTTAATCCAATAATTGCATCATGATTTGAAAATATCTTTGCATGTGTTAACAGTTAACATCATATCCGTTTGTTAAAACTTTAATATCCAAAGGGGCTTTCACCTTCTCAAGCAAATTAAATTAAGCATAACGTTGTTATGTAATGTCACAGAGAACAAATCAAATTAGAGAGAAAAAAGGAAAAAAAAAAATAGAGAAGACTAGCTAGAAGCTCTTTTTGATAGATTAATTAATTGTAATTACCAACTCTCCGTGAAAACAAACAATTAAAACGGTTGACCTTTTGTGTGACGTGAGTAGTGAACGCATGACACACGTGATTGTATAACATATTTCTCCTCTGGAAGATTGTAGAATCCTTTGCTTATGGGGTTTTAATAATATTAATAAAGATTCCTTATTTGAGATGTTTTTGCGCTGATATATGTGTGTGAGAGAGAGAGAGAGAGAGAGAGAGAGAGAGAGAGAGAGAGAGAGAGAGAGAGAGAGAGAGAGAGAGAGAGAGAGAGAGAGAGAGAGAGAGAGAGAGAGAGAGAGAGAGAGAGAGAGAGAGAGAGAGAGAGAGAGAGAGAGAGAGAGAGAGAGAGAGAGAGAGAGAGAGAGAGAGAGAGGTTAAGTAATGGAGAAAAGGGAAGGGAAGAGAAGGATAGTGTTAGTTTCACCTCCAGCACAAGGACATATGACTCCAATGATGCAACTCGGGAAAGCCCTTAGCTTGAAAGGCTTCTCAATTACAGTTGTTCAGGGAGAATTTAATCAAGTAAGCTCGTCTTCGAACCACTCCTCTGGTTTTCAATTTATTACCATACCAGAAAGCTTACCAGAGTCTGAAGTTGAGCGCCTAGGAGTTATCGAGTTTCTGATGAAGCTCAACAAAACCAGTGAGGCTAGCTTCAAGGACTGTATAGCTCAGTTGTTGCTACAACAAGGCAATGATATAGCATGTATCGTCTACGACGAGCTCATGTACTTCTGTGAAGCTGCAGCTAAGGAGTTCAACCTTCCAAGTATCATTTTCAGCACTACAACTGCTACACATAAAGTTTGCTGCAGTGTTTTAAGCAAACTCAATGCCAAGAAGTTCTTGATCGACATGGAAGGTACCTAAAACTAGCTTTATAACCCACCTTGAAAGACTTGTTGGACTAAACCATTTTTTTTTTAATATATATACTTAACAGATCCTGAAGTGCAGGACAAGGTGGTGAAAAATTTGCATCCATTAAAATACAAAGACTTACCGGCTTCAGGAGTGGGGCCATTAGAACCATATTTTAAGTTCTGTAGAGAGATAGTCAACAAAAGAACAGCTTCCGCTGTTATCATCAATACGGTGAGCTGTCTAGAGAACTCTTCTCTGTCATGGCTGCAACAAGAACTCGGAATTCCAGTGTACCCATTAGGCCCTCTTCACATTTTAGCTTCAACGTATTCTAGTTTACTGCAAGAAGACAGGAGCTGCATTGGATGGCTGAACAAGCAGAAACCAAGGTCAGTTATATACATAAGCATTGGAAGCGTAGCTCAGATGCAAACCAAGGAATTCTTGGAGATGGTTTGTGGATTGTCTAATAGCAACCAACCTTTCTTGTGGGTCATCCGACCGGGTTCTATCTCCGGTTCAGAATGGATAGAGTCATTTCCAGAGGAAGTTAGTAAGATAGTCTCAGAAAAGGGATACATAGTGAAATGGGCACCACAAATAGAAGTACTTGGACATCCTGCAGTGGGAGGGTTCTGGAGCCATTGTGGATGGAACTCAACGCTCGAGAGCATTGTGGAAGGAGTTCCAATGATTTGCATGCCTTTTATTGGTGAGCAGAAGCTAAACGCAAAGTATATAGAGAGTGTGTGGAGAATTGGTATTCAGCTGGAAGGTAAAGTGGAAAGAGGACAGGTTGAAAAAGCTGTGAAGAGGTTGATTGTGGGTGAAGTAGGTGCTGACATGAGGAAAAAGAGCCCTTGGTTTAAAAGAGAAGCTCAAAGCCTCTGTGAGAAGTGGAGGCTCCTCACACAAAGCATTGGATGATCTCGTTAAGTACCTGAATGTAGAGTGAGAAGCTGCATTTCATGTATTAGTAGAGATCATTAAATTGTTTAGATCAAGCTTGATCGTACAAAATTTCATAAGTACGTGGTTTTTCTTATCCAAGTTACCAAGTAAAAAGCAACTCAAATAAAATACGAGTATCTCTTTTGGTAGTTTGCTCAACGTAGAATCGTTCCATCAGAAAAAAGTCAAATTTCGAACTATCTTTTTATATGAAGTAGAATGAGGACAGGTTAAGAGAATGGTGAAGAGATTGATCACTGATGAAGATAGTCCATGCATGAAGACCTACTGGTTTGAAAGAGAAGCTCAAAGCTTCTGAGAGAATTGGAGGCTCCTCATACAACGCATTTGATGAGCTCGTAAACTTCAGACTAATGAATTTCATGCAACTTAAGAGATCAATCAGTCATGATCTTGAAAATTTTACTAAGAACATGTTCTATTATGAAAATAGCAAGGATTTCAAATCAAAATATGAATATCCCTTTACGCGGTTTTCTCAAAACCGAATGATATCTTTTGGCAATTTTTTGGTAAAAAGAAAACTCCATCTCCCTAGCCAAAAGAGACTGGTAATGCATGCATGAAACTGATTTGTGTGAAGGACTATAGGTTTCTTACATGGCCACGAACATAATTTCCATTATATATATCTAATATTCAAGACCATTCACGGGTCACTCATAAACGTATTGGGAAAATCCAATATTTTATTAAGTCATGAAAGAATTAAGATCATGCGAGGAGGAACGAAGCTAATTGTGTGTGGTTTTAATGAATGTTTCCCTGGTGTTTTTGATATCTTTAATTAATTATTTCCCTTACATAAGCACTTAATTTCAACTATACAAGTAGAACAGAGAAGATTAGTATATAGAGACTAAAATCTATTTTTTTATTTTACAGATTTAATTATTACCTAAATAAATAAAAAAGGGAAACATACCATGGGTAAAACGACCAACTCCATGTATGCCAGTGGGATTTTATATTATAGGTGGATCATTTATCATTTATTCAGCTATCTTATGTAGATAGATAGATAAATAATAGAGAGAGAGAGAGAGAAAGGAATGGAGAAAAGAGCAGATAAGATAAGGCTGGTGTTGATTCCACTTCCATTTTAAGGACATATAACTCCAATAATGCAACTCGTTAAAGCCCTTAACTCGAAGGGCTTCTCGATAACAGTTGCTCAGGGTCAGGGAGAATTCAATCGAGTAAGCTCCTCGCAACACTTCAAGGACTGTATAGCTTAGTTTCTTCTGCAACAAGGCAATGACATAGCATGTATCATCTACGATGATCTCATGTACTTCTGTGGAGCTGCAGCTAAGGAGTTCAAGCTTTCCAGTATCATCTTTGCACAACCAGTGCTACACATAAAGTTTGCTGCAATGATTTAAGCAAAGTGATCAATGCCAAGACGTTCTTGATCGACATGGAAGGTACCTAAAAAAAAAGCTTATTACCCATTCTGAACCATGTTCTGATATTCAACAGAGGTTTTTTCTACTTTTAGATCCTGAAATGCAAGACAAGGCGGTGGAAAATTTACATCCATTAAGAATTTAAGATACAAAGACTTACCAACTTCAGGAATGGGGCCACTGGAGCCACTTTTGGAGATTTGTAGGGAAATATTTAACAAAAGAACAGCTTCTGGTGTTATCATCAACACGCCAAGTTGTCTAGAGAGCTCGTCTCTGTCATGGATGCAACAAGAACTCGAAATTCCAGTGCACCCTTTAGGCCCTCTTCACATTACATCTTTGGAAAATTCTAGTTTACTGGAAGAGGACAGGAGCTGCATTGAATGGCTGAACAAGTAGAAACCAAGGTCAGTGATATACATAAGCTTGGGAAGCAAGGCTCAGATGGAAACCAAGGAAGTTTTGGAGATGGCTTGGGAATTGTATGATAGCAACCAACCTTTCTTATGGGTCATCTCTAAGTCATTTCCACATGAAGTTAGTAAGATGGTCTCTGAAAGAGGATACATAGTTAAATGGGCACCGCAGAATGAATTGCTTGCACATCTTGCAGTGGGAGTCTTTTGAAGCCACTGCGGATGGAACTCGACACTCGAGAGCATTGTGAAAAGAGTTCCAATGATTTGCAGGCCTTTTACTGGTGAGCAAAATTTAAACGCAAAGTATATAGAGACTGTTTGGGGGATAGGGATTCAAATTCAAGGTGAAGTGGAAAGAGGACAGGTTAATGGAATGGTGAAGAGGTTGATCACTGATGAAGAAGGTGCAGGCATGAGGGATAGATCCATTGGTTTAAAAGAGAAGATCAAAGCTTCTATGAGAAGTGGAGGCTCCTCCTCATACAACGCGTTGGATGAGCTGGTAAACTTCTTGGAGAGTGAAAAGATGTTGAACTTCAAATATCAGTTGACATAATTAAACTGATGAACACTCATTGTAATTTAAAAGATCAAGCTTGTTTTTGCAAAGATTTACCTAGTACATGGCGTGTTTTTATGCAAATAAAAAGCAATTAAATCAAATACGAGTATCCATTTACGCAGTTTTCTTAAACCTAGCTTTTGTTAGAATTTCACAATGTAAGATTTTTGTACAAAGAAAAAAAAAAAAGGAACACTTACCGGTCATGCAAACATTTTACTTATCTGTATACAGACCAGAAATATTCAATTATTATACACCAACCTTATCTTCTCTTTAACATATTACTTATGATTTAAATGTCAAAAGAGAACATGCCATAACATGGCAAAAACAAACAAAAAATTATTGGCGTTTTATGGAATGTCACTTGCTTCATTATGTGGACTTGACTCTGCGCCTCAATGGAAGGTTATTTCTTTTAAAAAATTGGCATTTTTGGGAAACCTTAAATTATAAAACACGTTCTCCTTTAGAATATTTCGGAATCTCCAATGCTAATTGAGATTTTAATAATAATACTGATCATTTTTATAGAGATGTTTGCATTGAGATACGAAAGGAAGAGCAGAGAGAAGGGTTAAGCAATGGAAAAAAGAGCAGAGAAGAGAAGGATAGTAGTGTTGGTTCCATTTCCAGCACTAGGACATATCACACCAATGATACAACTCGGTCAAGCCCTTCAATTAAAGGGCTTCTCAATTACAGTTGCTCAGGGACAATGCAATCAAGTATGTTCTTCTCAAACCTTCTTTGGCTTTCAGTTTGTCACCATACCAAAAAGCTTACCAGTGTCTCAACTTGAGAGCCTTGGACTAGTCGAGTTTCTGATGAAGCTCAACAAAACCAGTGAGGCAAAATTCAAGAACTGTATAGCTCAGTTGTTGCAAAAACAAGGCAGTGATATCGCATGTATCATCTACGATGAGCTCATGTACTTCTCTGAAGCTGCAGCTAAGGAGTTCAAGATCCCCAGTGTCATATTTAGCACTGGCAGTGCTACAAATCATGTTTGTGGCTGTGTTTTAAGCAAATTCAATGCCGAGAAGTTTTTGATCGACATTGAAGGTACTCAATACTAGCTTATTACCCATTCTACAAACCGTCCTCTTCCTAAACAGATGATTTTTTTTTTTTTTTTTACTTTTCAGATCCAGAATTGCAAGACAAGGTGGTTGAAAATTTACATCCATTAAGATACAAAAACCTACCGATTTCCGGAATGGGGCCACTGGATCGATTTTTAGAAATTTGTAAGGAAGTATTTAACAAAAGAACAGCTTCAGCTGTTATCATCAACACGACAAGCTGTCTAGAGAGGTCGTCTCTGTCATGGCTGAAACAAGAACTCAGAATTCCACTATATTCAATAGGCCCTCTTCACATTACATCTTCAGCGAATTCTAGTTTACTGGAACAAGACAGGAGCTGCATTGAATGGCTGAACAAGCAGAAACCGAGGACAGTCATATACATAAGCTTTGGAAGTATAGCTCAGATGGAAACCAAGGATGTTTTGGAGATGGCTTGGGGATTGTGTGATAGCAAACAACCTTTCTTATGGGTCATCCGACTTGGCTCTGAGTCATTGCCAGAAGAACTGAGCAAAATGGTGTCAGAAAGAGGATACATTGTCCAATGGGCACCACAGATAGAAGTACTTGCACATCCTGCATTGGGAGGGTTCTGGAGCCATTGTGGATGGAACTCAACGCTCGAGAGCATTGTGGAAGGAGTACCAATGATTTGCATGCCTTTTAACGGTGAGCAGAAGTTGAACGCAATGTATATAGAAAGTGTTTGGAGAATAGGGATTCAGTTTCAAGGTGAAGTAGAAATAGGAGGGGTCGAGAGAGCTGTGAAGAGGTTGATCGTGGATGATGAAGGTGCAGAAATGAGGGAGAGAGCCTTTGTTTTGAAAGAGAAGCTCAAAGCCTCTGTGAGAAGTGGAGGATCCTCATACAATGCATTGGACGAGCTCGTCAAATGCTTGGCGACAGAGTGAAGAAGCTGAACTTCTAGAGATGATCAAACTTGTGTAGGTAGCCTGTGAATCTTTTTTTCAAATATGCAAAACACTGATATCTTAGATGAAGCAGCTTTGCCAATGTTCAAAAAATCGCTAGGCGGTGGCTAGGCGGATGATAAGAGACTAGCGCCTAGGCGGATTAGTCGGAGACTAGGCGGAGTTTAGGCATTAACAAAATTTTTGTTAATTTTTATAAATTTTCTATCTATATATTATATTTTTTTAAAAAAAATTAATTGTTTTTTTAAAAATTATTTTATCAAAATTTATGTTTGAATAAAAAGTAAGAAAATTAATAAATAAAATTATAGAATAAAATTCAACAAAAAAATCAAACTAAAAATATCAAATTCTTCAAACTAAAATAAGTTTTAATCTAAAAATTTTAAAAAGTAAAACAAAGAGAAATCTATCTAACTTATTCTTCAAACACATCCATATCCACCATCTGCTCATTTTCAGACTCAAATTCAAAATCAATAGCTATATCATTTTCATCGTCGGAATCGATATCTCTTCTAGGCTCATCGTTAAAATTGAAAGTTGAAACTTAAAACAGAGCACAAACAAAGTAAACAAAGATGAAAAGATAAATTAAGAAAATACAATTTAGTTATATACTATATACAGATAGATAAAGAGACGATTAAACAAACTTGTAGAGTTCAGCAATAGAGAATAATGATCGCCTCTTGTAGTTTATAAAGGTGAAGTAGTGGGGAGGAAACGATGATGATTATATTAAGTTATTAACCCTAATCTACGTTTCAAATTTTTTTTTTCTCTTTTCTGTAAATTGATGTTGGTTTACTATCCAAAACCGTAAAAATTGACTGAAAAAATGATAAAAATAATTAGTCTGATTTGGCCGATTTTATCGATTTAGTCTGATTTTTCCGATTTTCTCCTACTTAGTCTGATTTTTTACTAAATTGGATTTATTTCACTGATTTTATGAAAATCGGGTCGGCTAACCCCGACTAGCCGCCTAGGCGGCTGTCTAGTCGCCGACTAGGCCGATTTTTTGAACACTGAGCTTTGCTTTCAATCAGATAGAAACCACTAGGGAGAAACATGGTTTTTACCCTTTTTCTTATTCAAATGAAAAGCAATTCAAATCAAATACGAGTCTCTTTTGAAAATAATCATAAAGATTAAATCGTTGCATCAGAACAAAATACAAATTTGTCCGTTTGGAACATCTTTTTGACAAGTGGACGACCAAAAAAATACAGGAACATTTTTACTCACATACTTCTTTATCTTGTTTCAACATCTTTGCTTTTGTCTTGTTTCACATGTGGCGAAGTGACCCAACAAAACGTAATGTCCAAAAGCCTGAAGATGCTAGTTTTAAAAAACTCATAGATCGGTCACCGCAAAAACAAATCTGATAAACCAAGTAACTCAAATACCTTATACAAGAAGCAGAGGAGATTATTTCTTACTTGTTATTGAAAATGGAGGAAAAGACAGCGAGGAGAAGGATAGTGTTGGTTCCAGTTCCAGCACAAGGACATATATCTCCAATGATGCAGCTTGCGAAATCTCTTCACTTGAAGGGTTTCTCAATTACAGTTGCTCAGACCAAGTTCAACTACTTTACCCCTTCAGATGACTTCACTGATATTCAGTTTGTCACTATTCAAGAAACCTTACCGGAGTCCGATTTCAAGAATCTCGGGCCAATAGAGTTACAGCATAAGCTCAACAAAGAGTGTCAGGAGAGCTTCAAGGACTGTTTGGGTCAGTTGTTGCTGCAACAAAGTAACAAGATCACATGTGTCATCTACGATGAGTTCATGTACTTTGCTGAAGCTGCAGCCAAAGAGTTTAACCTTCCAAGTGTTATATTCAGCACCACAAGTGCCACGGCTTTTGCTTGCCGCTCTGTATTCGACAAACTCTATGCAAACAATGTTCTTGCTCCCTTGAACGATACTCTAGAATACTATTTTTCTGGTTTCCGCTATAATCTGTAACAGCATGGTTTTTCGACCTTTTTTCACAGAACCGGAAGGACAAAAAGAAGAGCTAGTGCCAGAATTTCATCCCCTGAGATACAAAGACTTTCCGGTTTCACGTTGGGCATCATTAGAAAGCATAATGGAGCTGTATAGGAATACAGTTGACAAACGGACAGCTTCCTTTGTTATAATCAACACGGCGAGCTGTCTTGAGAGCTTATCTTTGTCGTGGTTACAACAAAAACTAGAGATTCCAGTGTATCCTATAGGCCCTCTTCACATGATGGCCTCAGCTCCTACGAGTCTTCTTGAAGAGAACATGAGTTGTATCGAATGGTTGAACAAACAAAAGAAAGATTCAGTTATATTCATTAGCTTGGGAAGCTTAGCTTTGATGGAAATCAGTGAGGTGATGGAAACTGCTTTGGGATTGGATAGTAGCAACCAACACTTCTTGTGGGTGATTAGGCCAGGGTTAGTACCTGGTTCGGAATGGATAGAGTACTTGCCAGAGAAGTTTAGCAAGATTGTCTCGGAACGAGGCTACATTGTGAAATGGGCACCACAAAAAGAAGTCCTTGCTCACCCTGCAGTAGGAGGGTTTTGGAGCCATTGTGGATGGAACTCGACTCTAGAGAGTATAGGTGAAGGAGTTCCAATGATTTGCAGGCCATTTTCTGGCGATCAAAAGGTGAACGCGAGGTACTTGGAGTGTGTTTGGAAAATTGGGATTCAAGTGGAAGGTGAGCTAGAGAGAGAAGCGGTGAAGAGAGCTGTGAAGAGGTTAATGGTGAGCCAAGAAGGAGGAGAGATGAGGAAGAGAGCCGTCAGTTTAAGGGAGAGACTTAGATCCTCTGTTAGAGAAGGAGGCTCTTCACACAACTCGCTAGATGAATTTGTACACTTGATGAAGACTATGTGAAAAGAAACTATAGGTTGGTGTCTGTTTACTTTACTTCTCCATGAATACACAAGGTTAGAAAATAATTATGTTGACAAAAATTTGGCTCTTCAGACAGAGTGAAAAGTGAATGAATGAATAACTTTTGTGGACATTAAGAAGGAAATTTACTAACTTGTGTTGAGAATTTACTACTTTTTGATGATAGAATTAAAGGGGACAAAAGTTTTACTAAGTCTTGAGACTTACATTTTTAAATTCATATATATATTCAAGCTTACCAGTCCTTCGTCCCAAAGACTCTTTGGCTTTCCACTTAATACCAGAACACAGTAAAGAAGCCAAATAGAACGTTAACAAACACCAAAATACTTTCGATTCGTGAGGAATCTGTAATAAAGCATACAACACTTGTAGCCACCTGGTGAAGACTTCTATGATCCTGTGACTTCTACAACGCTTAGCGTTGTGTTGCAGAGGCAAAGGCCAGAGATTGCAATAGGAATGTTATCTTAATTAAATCTTAATGAAACATGTCACATGCTGTCATATATTAGTACCTAAATGATTACTGATCTTAAAGGTTTTTAGTGTTGTATTTGGCTTCTTTACTCGGTTCAGGTTAAAGAAGAAATAAATTAGACCCATATAACATATGCTTCCCAGTTCTTGAAATCTTGTTGAAAATCTCTCGAGATATCCCCTCTAAACACCAAGATACAGTTTCAATAGAAGATAGAGTTTTTTGGGTCAAGATAGAGTTAAGTTTCGCACATAATGATATTATGGAACGAAACACCAAGATACAGTTTCAATATTATGGGTAGGTTTCGTTCCTTAATATCATTCTGTGCGAAACTTAACTCCATCTTGACCCAAAAAACGTTTACTTTAGTTCTAATGTCAGTATCTATTCTTCCACTACAAGAAAGATCGGGTTTTACGTCGGCATATATCGACGTAAAATCGACGTAAAAAAGCATTTACGTCGAATTAACGACGAAAAAAAAATCGTCGTAAAACGATCGTCGTAAAACCGAAATCGTCGTAAAATCGTCGTAAAATTACCAACTCCGGAAATCATCGTAAAATCGTCGGAAACTATTCATCGTAAATGCGACGTAAAATGAAGTATAACGAAAGAACTCCATCATAAGAGCGATGTAAAATTACATCGATTTAACAACGATTAGGAGACGAACAATTTCAATTAAGGGAAACTAATTTTTTAATTGTCGATGTTAAATCGTCGTAAATTTTCGACGAAATCCGACGTAAACTTATTCGACGTAAATTCGTCGTTAAATATTCGACGTTAGATCGACGTAAATTTACGACGAATTTACGTCGATTTATAAATTAAATATTTAATTTAATTTTAATTTAATTAATGAATTTTGAAAATAATAAAAAATTAAAAATAGAAAAAAAACAATTTAAATTGAAATTTAAATTCAAAAATAATTTCTAAATAAAAAAAATTTAATACAAATTTAATAAAAAAAATCTCAGCATTGGCCGTAGCAAGCTCCTGGCGAAGCTGACTCGGATCCTCCTGCGTGCGGAATCCGGAAGCCGAGGCGGCAGGACAGTCTCTAATAGAGCCCATCCTTAAGGTTCGGCCCTTCTTCTTCGGAGCAACCTACAAATGGAAAATAAAAACGTTAATTATTTATTAAGTAATAAATATAATAAATTTTAAAAAAATTGAAATAGATCATACCTCTTCGAAAATCTGGTCTTGCTCAGCGACGGTCAACGGTACTTGGATAGTACCGTCAGGTGTGGCCTGGGTCTCCCGCTCGGCGATCCGCTGCATAGCGGCATTGTAGATCTCCTCGGACCGAGCGTCGACAAAGCTTCCGTCCCTCTTCCGGTGAGTGGTCTCGAAGAGCTTCGTCATTGGAGGTAGTTCTCCTCCGTTCTCCTCGGCCTACGAATTAGTAAACATTAGTCAAAAATATTTAATAAATTATAGCAATAAATAAAATTAAATTAAAATAATAATTACTTACCATCATGAGACGTCTTCCCGCAAAAGATATTTGGCCAAAAGTGTGCGGGGTCACTAACTTCTCACCAGTCACCAGATCGACCCGGTTTCGGATGGCCGAACACTTAGCAGCGGTGGTTTGGGCATGCGGGTCCAGCCAGTACGCCTTCAACCCGTTCCAACAGGTAGTGGACATGGAGCTTGGCTTTGCGTCGTCGCCGTCGGTCTCCCATTTCCGCTTCCAATCGGAAACGGTGTTGACTAGGCGTTTCTGCGCCTTCAGCCGGAAAGCTTCGCGGACCGTCTCGTTGATCCCGATGTCCCAGTTCCACCGTTGCTGCAAAAGAAAACAAAAAATTAGATAAATAATATAAAAGTAAGATTAATTGAATTTTACTACAATTTAAAATGATATAAATAATATTTAAAAAATATTACCGCAAAGCACTTGTACCAGGTGTCGAACGTCTCTTGCGACACCTTGCTCCAATTGTAGTGCGGCTCCACGAAATGACTCTTAATTGTGTCGGAAACGCTCCGACCGACACAATTATCCAAACTAAACCTATGAAACAAAAAAAAAACTTATTACATTAATATTTAAGTAAATTAAAGCATTAATTTAAAAAAAAATATAAAAAACTAAAAAGTTTACTTACCAATAAGAGCCTGGTTCCGCTTTTCCGGGAACCAGACGTCGTAAAGCCCCCCGTCCCGGTAGGGCAAGTAAATCCTCAACCGTAAACTGGGCATACGGATGAGGAGGGGCGGGTACCGGTTCGGCAGCCGGCGGTGGAGGTGGTGGTGGAGGCGATGGTGGAGGCGGTGGTGGAGACGGCTCCGCGGTATTCGGAACCTGGGAGGCTCCGGAAGATGAAGGGACATCGGTCCCGGTGTTTCCCGAGGCAGACGCCCGGGAAGAGTGTCCGTCCAAAATTGATGTAATGCGTCCTCCGTTGAGTCATCGTCTGCAAAACCGATAAAATTTTATTTTTCAAGTTAATTACAATTAATTTTTAATTACAATCCTAAATCTAAGAAATTCTGATCCTAAATCTAACAAATTCCGAGCCTAAACTAATTCCCGACCTAAACCGTTTGAATTTCTAAACTATTTAATAATAAAATAATTTAAAGTAATTAAAAAAAAATAATTACCTTTTTTGCGTCAAAAAGAGGAGGAATGCAAGAGAGGAGGAAGCAGAGAGAGAGGAAGGAGAGATAAGCGACGAATTCCAAAAAATCGTCGTAAATTCGTCGTAAAAGTCAACATATGTCCAAGTCAACACTTTAACAAATTTTCATCAACATTTAATTAGTTTTCATTAATTGGCTTTAATTTTTCAAAAATTTAAATTTGACAAATGTTACATTGAAACGTTCAAAGCATGAAATTAAATGTCAACATATTTAATTAGTCTTCATCAACATTTTCTTCGGTGTCCTCATCATCATTGTCATCATCATCACTGCTTGTTTGAAATTCGTCAGCACCTTCTTCAGTTTCGTCCCCATGTAGATCTTCAACTTGTCGATTACGTGGATCAATTAAAAGAACATTTTCTTCAACATCCGGTTCTGTAATGTCCACACAATCATCTTGTTGCATTGGCGGGAGATCTACACCATCAATTATACCCCTTGGAGCAACTTTGACAACCGCCAGCCATGAAATTCCCGTATTCCGAACTCGAGGATATGGAACAAAAGTGACTTGTTCTGCTTGAGATGCAAGTATAAAAGGCTCGAACTTATTGTATCGCCGAGATGCGTTTACATCTACCACTCCGAATTTGTTAATTCGCACTCCACGACCTACCGTAGGATCAAACCAATCACATTTGAATAGAACAGTTTTCATTCTGACTAATCCAGGGTATTCCACTTCAATTATCTCTTTGATGATCCCATAAAAGTCTACTTCACCTCGTACACAAACTCCATAGTTTGTAGTTGCCCGTTGAGTGCCATGACTATAAGTATGAAAAACATAGCCACGTGTGAAATACATAGCTGCAGTAGTTATCTTCGAAATAGGACCTAGGAGCAACTCATGAAACCATACTGCATATGTCATGTCATCATGCTCGACTTGACCTTTTAACCACAATGCATAATGTTGGTCTTTCCGCTTGTTAATTTCATCTTCTGAAACACCGTCAATGCATTCTCGGACTTGACTGACGAAAGTGCTGAAATTTTAAAACATTGTTAAGGACATTTCGTCTGTTCAATCAAATTTTAATCATGCATGGTTATAATTATGTACCTCTCGTAAGGTGCCAATTCCTCGCAATTCAGAAGTATATATGTATGTGCGTTGTGGTAGTCTTGTTCGTTTGACCAACAAGTTTCTTTTAGTTTCTCACTTAGACGTCCAATTGGTGAGAATATATCAGGCACACCTTCTACTGCGTAACTTTGTCCTACACCCCCATCGTCGTAACGTCTTGGAGCCCGTTTGCGTGTACAAACCTTCGGAGCAAAATAATAAGACGTGAAATGAGAAGTTTCTTCTGTTAAACTTCCCGCCACGATAGACCCTTCAACTTTTGCTAAGTTTTTGGCCTTACCCTTTAAATGCTTCATAAATCGTTCAAACAGATACATCCACCTAAACTGAACAGGTCCTCCCAACTCTGCTTCATGAGGGAGGTGTATAGGTAAATGTTCCATAACATCGAAGAAAGCAGGTGGGAATATTTTCTCTAAATTGCACAACAATATTGGAATATTTGTAGACAGTTGTGCAACTACATCTTCTGATAATGTCCTTGTACTTAGATCACGAAAGAAAGCTCCAATGCCTCCTAGTGCCTCATGGACATGTTCCGGTAGGAGTTCAGCAAACGCAAAAGGAAGTAACCGTTGCATAAACACATGACAATCATGACTTTTCATCCCTGAAAACTTTTGTCCCTTATCCACAGATTTAGCCAGATTAGATACATATCCATCAGGAAATTTCACGGCTGATGATACCCAATTAAACAATACTGTTTTTTTTTCAGCACCCAACCGAAATACAGGAACAGGTGCTTTCCCATTACTCACCATATGCAACTCAATTCTGTTACATATATCGGGTAAGTCCATCCGTGATTTAA